CAGAAGATCTAGATGGTGCCAGCTATTACTACTGACCCCTTTAAAAAAGATCACAATATGAGGTCTTAGAGTCAGAGGAAAATGTGGAAGAAAACTCAAAGTCATATGAAAGACCAGGCTTACTGGTCTGGAACAGACTAGTGGAACCCCTCCCCAACACTATGGCCCTTAGTCACTCTGCAAGTCTGGAATTGAATTCATGCCCATGGTTCAACTCTCAGCCAAACAATAGGCAGGGGCCTAAGGGGGCAAGAAACCAGGGAGGTACTCACACCTTTAGAACAAGCAACCATATGAGAGCAAAAAGGCAGTGTTTACCTAGGCATAAAGCTCAGAAGATAGGAATGGATAAGACAGAAGCACAAAAAGAAGTGGAAACAGCGTTGTTGTTACATTATAGGGGCAGCAATCAACGTCAAGGAACAAAATACAGATGAATTCTGAATGGAAAACAAAATCTTCTCATTCAGACTGCAATAATTAAAAAAAAAAAAAATGCATGTACCACAAATATTTGAGGAAGAGTTCAGCTTCACCACTGATTACATCAAAAAGAAAAGTACCATTTTTAAGCAATCAAATTGGCAAAGATACTTAAAAATGGAAATAACCAATGCTGGGAAGGTTATGTTGAGACAGTCACCTACATTCCAGTAAGCCTGGACTTTTGTATGATTTTTAATTCTAGTTCCCATTTTTCTCTGACTCTATCCAAGACCTCACATTGTGATCTCTTTTAAGTTGGTTAAAGAGCAACAACAACAAATCTTTAGAAAGCAGTATACAATGGAGCCTTTCAAATGCCCTGAAATCTATTCTGTGAAAATAACTAGATGCAAAGTTATATATACACAAAGCTACCTATTCATCACACTGTTATAACTGGATATAATCTTGGAGTAAAGTAACTGGGTGAAGGTTATAAAAATTATGTGCAATCTATATGACAAAATAGTATGTAGCCATTTTTACTGTTTATAAAAGTTTCAACAATACAGAAAAATGCTTCTCATATAACCCTAAGTGAAAATAGCAGGTTATCAATTGCATATCAATTTATCCAAATATTTAGCAAATATTTACCGAATGCCTATTGTGTACCACAAATGAGGCTCAGATCCAGCAATAAACAAGACAGGTATGGCCCTTTCCCTCATGAAACTGGTAGTCTGAGCTATGAAGATGAAGCTATTTATAATGTATTCTAATAATGCTATCACAGTGCTATAAAAACAGGGAGGGATACCTAGCACAGCTGGGAAGATGAAGAAATGGTTCCCAGATGAACAGAGATTTCATCTAAACTGAGAACC